CCCACGCGGCTCCCTCCTCCACGTGGTTCTCTCTCCCGCGCGGCTCAGTACAGTACAGTCGCCCCACTCGCTCGCACGCTGCGACTTGCGGTCGTTCACCTTATCGTAGAAGCAGACAGTGCGTCGGCGTGAGAGCAAGTTCCTGTGTCATACGAGAGTGAATTTCGTGAAAACCTAACCTGATGTCGGCGGCTTTAAATACTTCTAAATCGCACGCAAGTCGACGTAATAACATGAGGTAAAAAAAAGCTCTTAAGTTTCCGCGATCGAGTGTCGTGATCGATTGAAGCATGAAAAACACGCAATCTCTTTCATTCGCGAGTAAATGGTTCAAATTTCTTCCTTAGTCTCGTCGCAGTGACAAGATTAATTTGTTATTGTGAATAAAAGTAAAGGAATAATTATCGTGGTTATTTGTATAATGGTAGAAGATTGTGCTGTTTAATTTTGATGAGTTGTATTCGCGCACGAGCGTTGATACGTATTTTCAAGGCTAATGAAAAAAAAATTAATAATAGACATTGTGAAAAACACACAGAGACACGCAAAATTCTTATCGTTTTATATATCTATTAATTATGCAAGATATTTGAATTTAGATATTCATGCAGACGAAATTTGCTAAATTAAATATAAAAAGATCCTGTATCATTTTATACTCTGTCACGATAATTATTGAAATATTAATGAAAGAAAAATTGGTTAATTAATACATGCGATGCGGTGACAGATTAACTCCTTACTAAGTCGAATGTTTGAGCTTTACGCGTATGATATTTAGAAATAACTGTCACTTTTTTTTAACTACACGACAAACAAATGCGCGTTTTCAATTTCAACTAATAAATCTGCATCACACAACGAATACATTTCATAGCCAACTCTTAGTGATGACAGCAAAACGATATCCTTTCAACTGAGTTCGAGTTAGCCACTGAGATTTAGCTGATATCACTAAGTAATTTCTTGGTGTGTAGATCTTTTCGAAAATTGAAGAATAACTGCTATTACTTGGCTCATTTCGTTACCTTTCTCGTCTTGACGATTTCTTGACTCCTCCAGTTCGTCGACATCTTCGCGCTGCACTCTAGGTTAAGCCGGAAGTGACTCGTTCCCCGAAGCAGGGTTAGCGGGAATCGAGCGGGGTCGTCTCCTGTCGGTGTACTCGAGGCATGTCCGGGGAAATGATCCATCGTAAAAGAGTCGGCTGTCCTCTTCTTCCCTCTCTCTCTCTCTCTTTTCCTTGCGGGCATGAAGCTCGGTAAACCTACGAAACACGCGAATTGCCTGGATAATCGTAGCACCGATGGCAAAAACTCCCGAGCTGCCGAGAGCTGCAGAGAAAGATAAAAAGGGGCTAATAGCTCCGTCTTATCTCGACCACGCGGAATATTCAACTCGTTAACTCGCGTCCGAGTGCTTGGATACGTTTTACAACGAACGCGATATCGTGATCTCACCATATCGTCGAACCTTCCTTCGCGAAAACTCTAGAACGACAACTGTTTCTTTCTCTCTCCCTCTCTCTCTCTTTCTCCGCGAGTTACATTGTTTTGAAATAGCTGGGGGAGAAAGAAGGCTTGAGAAAAAGTTCGTTCATTGTTGTTGTTTCTAATCAGTTATCTCGTGGTGAGTTATGGATATAAGAAAAACAGACAGAAATGTGTTCAAGGATGAACGGCATAACGGGAGATTCTGCGAAAATAATACACTGTGCGACAGACTGCGCAAGGTTATGTCTTTCGACGTCATCTTTCCCGACAAATTCGTATCTCATCGTCGTTTCTTTTGCGTCGCGCCGCGAGCTTCTGAATAGCGAATGAAGGTTCACGTGACGGTCACGCATGCATGAGAGATCTATACGATGTGTTTTTCCCACGAGATATGAATATTTCGAGTCGCGCGCGAAGATCTAAATGCATGCACGACTCTATTTAGGCCGCTCATTCGCACGCAAGCGAACACGTTCAAACGTATCTTCCGCTATGAAAGCACAATAATCATCGTAAGGTGTGCGGGGACAAAACGGTACGGATCACATCGATATCTGACGGATGATCATACAGAAATATTTACCTCTCACCAACGAATCCTTTTCGCAGATTCCGCCGAAACCTTATGCAAGTTATCGACGACGCGTCGACCTCGCCGTTGTCGCCTTCGTTGTCGTCGTGTGTCGCACTCTGTTGGCGGCGCGGCACGACACCGCGAGCATCGTGCAGCTTCCTTCCGGACCGGTGCAGCAAAGAACCGGCCACGCGAGAAGACTCGCTCGGGAATCTGCGGAAATCCCGCCCCTCGCCCGGCGATTCCACGAAAGAATGTGGGAGAGCGCGCGAACGATGACGACGCTGCGACGACGCGTACTGCTCGGCATCGCGACGCATGCGTCCTCACGCTAGGTCGGTACGAGCGCCGTACGAAGAGCAGAGTGGCGACGCCAGCCGAGCGGTCGGCACACTGGATGATGATGGTGGAGGGACGGGAGCGGAGCAAACAGCTGGCAGCACTGACCGGCGATTGATCCTACGCGGTTGGCACGGCGAGTTCAGTCGCTGACGAACCGCCGAGCGGAGTGAATTGTGGTAAAATACCGTAATCTCTGACGAGCGAGCGGGCGAGCTACGCACGGAAACAGCCGAGCACAATCACGGCGTCTCTCTCGCTCTCTTCGACTGTATACCGACGGCTTTCTCCTCTCTCTCTCTCTCTCTCTCTCTTTCTCTCTCCCGCTCGAGTGAGAGACTTACACAGCCGCCCGCGTTTCCTCCATCTCGGTTTGCACGACTGAAAAACCGCCCGCTTTCGGCAACGTTCTCTCGCCTCTCTGTCGACAATCGGCGAAGCAGGAGGAATCGCCGTCGATCCCGAACGGATCTCTCTTTGTGAGATTGCGAGTACCAACTACGAAGCCCGAAAGTTCGAGAGAATACGTGTTACGTTCCACATTCTCATCCGTCGCTGTGCAACAAGGCAAAGCAGTCAGCCATCCATCCATCCATCCATCCATCCATCCATCCAACCATCCATCCATCCAACCATCCGTCAGTCAATTAACCAGCCAGCCAAGCCCGCATCGCCGCCGCCGCCGCATCGTGACGTAGGCCGGAGTATGTGAAAATGGATTTTAAGAGCGTGGTGTACAACGCGGCGAGGGACGGCAAGCTCAAACGTCTCAAGGTAAGCGGTGAGCTTTGTACTGCTTGATATGCGCAACGCCACGTCTCGTCGTTAGCAGCATCGGCTACACGCCGATATCTCGCGCTCGTACAATATACCAGTTTGTCGACCTGTCGTACCGCGCAATCGCTCCGTGCAAAACCGGTACGCGATCTCGCGACCAACCACAAAATTCGACGAAAACGATCGACCTCGTAGTTGAATCTTACGTGTTGATCTTTCTCTCCCTCTCTTTTTCTCCTCTCTCCCCTTCTCTCTCTTTCTCTCCTCTTTCTCTCTTCTCTTTCTCTCTTTCTCCCTTCCTTCTCGCAACGCCGGACAACGGAAGTCGAAGCTGTCGAATTCGTCGCGTCGTTTTCCGATCGATTCGCATTAATGAGCGTCAGCAGGATCGTCCGAAGGACTGAGAGCTCTCTGAGAGTTTCATACTCGATGTGACGAGTGTGTGTGCATCAACAAGCGCAATATCGGCTTGAAACGACTCGTTCTAAAAGCTGCTACGTTGTTGCGAGGGCTCGAGTGTCGCTTTGTCCGCCCATGAAGGTCGCGCGAGATGTTGACGTTTCGGGACGCGGCGCGTCGACACATGTACATTTCTACTCGACGTTTGACGTAGCGCAGATGATTCACGTTTTATTCTGCATATCGGAAGCGTTGCAACTGTATTTCTGAGTGGGCTTGTTTCGCGCGAAGCTTCCTGTTCGATTCTAATGAGGTTAGGAATAGCTGACGCGACAACTTCGTTCAAAGATGTGTAGTTCGGTCTCTTTCTCTCTCTTTCTCTCTCTCTCTCGTCCTGCGTGTAAAATGTCTACTTCGTCATGCTTTATTTTCCAGCTGCTCACGCAGCACATTCAACGTCATCTGCATTTTTGCTTCATCGTCATACGCTCGACGACGAGATTTCCGAGTATGTAATTTCGATTAGAAACATTGAACAAACGCGTGATATTTGCAACTCGGGTTTCAAGATTTAACGATAATAAGGCAGAATCACAGAGAGCGAAGCAGACACGAAAGCGTAAATCGATTGTTTACACTGTAACAATCCGAGGACAAGGTCAATGACATCAAAAGTAAGTTATATACCTCGGGCGGCTAACAATCAAAAGTAATTTGAGTAAGTGAATACAATAGGAAATCCCGGTGTTGTAAATGCTGTCAAGTACTATCGGATCTGTGCATCTGATAATGCTCCGTGAGTTGTGTGAATCTTGCTTGGCATTTTTTAACGCTCTTATTTTCTTTGTTTTTATCGTATTTAAATTTAAACCTCTAGCGATGCTATTTTTCCCTGCGACAGCTTTCCCTGTCACCTCCTTTTTTAATTTTTAAATCCACTACACATTTTTCCAATGACAATACAAATAATTCTAATGAGCAGCTTATGAAGAGAAAGATAATATCCGTTTTATTTATTGGTTAATTATTAAGCCTCAAATTCCGCGTCCTTTAAATTTGTTAATGTGGAATTCACAAATTTCGAGACGGGATAACGTTGTTATCTTGTTATAACGACGTTATCTGCCCACTTGTATCGTGGATAAAGCGACAGTGTAGATATTTTCCGCGCGGATTTGCGTAGACGTAGCCGACCGCAGCTGCGTTCGAAATACTGTTTTCAGCTGCGTTTCTTGTTGGCGCACGAATTTAGGCTAAGTATTTGCAGCTCACGGTGGTATCGTAGTCGCGCGTGGGGATAGCTTGTGAAACGGTACGCGCGCACACATACACGCGCGCGCTTGCAAGCGCAATTTATATTTCGAAATTTCGTCTCGTGTTCGTTCACCCGCCAGAATACTCGGAAATAGCACACACGAATTTTCCAATATCCGTCCTCGATAAATTAATCCGTCTAAATTTGACATGCAGTAAGAATCCGGCTATTAACTCCCTCGTTGAATTCGCGCACGTTCGGCGACTTTAAATGCGCGAGACGTTTTATGCATGCGCACTCTTGGTCTTTCACTGTGCGAGAGTCGTGAATGCCGCGAGCGACGTCAGATATCGTTGGAGAGTTACGAGGCGAATTAAAATTTGGTCGAGCGACTCGAAATCAAATCGCTCAGACGGATAGATTTATTTTCTTTTTCCCTTACTTCTTTATATATGTACACGACTCCTCGCACACTTTCGCAAAGACCCGAGACGTACTCACGTTTTCACGCTTTTGTTATGCAAACATTACACAGCACAGTAGCGTCTGGCGGTCACAAAATTAACTCGTCGCTGAGACTTTCGGGGAGCCGTGTTTGCCTCGCGCATTTATCGTGCGAGTCTCTCCTCGCCATTCCCGAGACCTTGGACAATCGTGAGACTGTCGCTTTCATGTTTTCCTCACCGGCGATTTTCTCGATGTTCGTGAATACTTCGCGTTATATTTTAAGAATATTTATTCTCTGCGAGATACTCCCGCGAATGAAATAGCGTCGAGGAAAGTCTTTCTCCCGACCTTGGAACTCTCCTGTCGGCGTAGCGCGCTCGTCCTAACGAAAAGTCGTACTCCAACGACCGTATTCCGCTCGCTCGCGCGATTACAAAACGTTTGGCACGACTTAACCTTGCGGTGCGATCTGCGACGGACTTGCAATACCGTAGCGAACACGCAGCACGGCCGCGACCAGAGCTCTCAGTTTTGTTACATTAGCAGCATGCTGGCAGCGCGGTGGAGGAACTCACACAAGCGAGCGCCCGTGTCCGTGAAGCTCACGGACACGAGCGCTCGCTTGTGTGAGTTCCTCCACCGCGCTGCCAGCATGCTGCTAATGTAACAAAACTGAGAGCTCTGGCCGCGACTCCGTCTATCGGAGAAAATGGAACTTCGGAATGGCAAATTTGCGAGTGTTCGTTGGCACAACAAAGGATCGTCAAACACCCGAGAATCCTGCGGCCTCGGCAAGTTTGCGGAGCCAAAAGATCCAGCGGCGTTCCGAACAATGTCGTATGCTCCAAGACAGGGGAGAAATAATGTAATTATTCTGTATTACAGGTCCGTGTTTTCCTCGCGATTTCCAACTTTTTCGTCCCGCGTGAATTATCATTTTCCAGACTCGGAGCATTTATCCGTTATTTATCGATATTTGCAGTCATTAAAGTCCATTAAAGTCATAAATGTTCAAATTAGTTCAGCGTTGTCAAATTACGTCGCTTCAATTATTTCATGCAGTTCCAATTGTTCAGTATTAAATCACTTTTAATTGATCCGTACTATACAGCACTTTATGTATCACGTGCTTATAAATGTGTGTGTATATGTGTCACGCTATTCTTTATCAAATCTATAAAACTGTCTAACAAAAAATACTAGGACGCAGGGCTATATTAAATAGTTATCTCTTGAGACTTGTTTCATGTGAGATACACAAATTTCCATTCAGAATGCAAATTTTTCAATTGAATCGTATATGTGCGTGGGTACTACACTGAGAAAAAAATTTACTAAATTTCAAAAAACGTTTGTTTGAATAGTACTGTGAAGATATTTGTTTAAATTAAGTAATTATTTTCTAAAATTAAAGAAACAAATTTATATTTAAAGCTTTTTTATTTAATTTTAGAAAATAATTACTTAATTTAAACAAATATCTTCATAGTACTATCCAAACAAATGTTTTTTGAAATTTAGTAAATTTTTTCTCAGTGTATATCCGCGATTCAATTGAAAAACTTTCATGTAACTCTGAACTCAAACCTGAGTATCTCACTTGAGAGAAGTTCCAAATAGTGACTATTAATACGAGCCATAGAGAAGCGCGTACAATTCGATTTTACAATCGACTTATCGTGTCGATCAGTAAGTCGCTGATAAACCAAATCGCGGGAGAAAGAGAGATTTAACGACGATCCGCAACGAGAGGAGAGATGCGCAGAGAGACTTTTCTTCCCTCTCGACTCGCGTTTATCTCGAGTAGGAAATAGCCGCAGCAAACAGCGGTTATATTTAGTATCGAGACGTTCATAGACGCGCTCACGGTTGAACCTGCCTGGTCGCGACCCTCCGTTCGCCTCTCTCTCTCTCTCTCCCCCCTCTCCCTCTCTCTTCCTCTCCCCCCCTCTCCCTCTCTCTCCCTCTCTCTTTCTCCGTGTATACGCGTGTGCAAAACGTGACTGTATAGATGCGCGAGAAGAAGCCAAGT